ACTCTGGAGACAACTGGAAGAAGGCGGCTAGTAAAGGGTTCCGAATGTTGTGGTTTATCCGTCGTTCTTTTGGGACCCTAACCGCTGATGTATTTGTGAAGCTCTTCTCAGCGTTTGTGCGACCCCACCTAGAATATTGCGTCCAGGCCTGTCCACCATGCCTTGTCCGGGACAAAATGGCACTAGAAAGGGTGTTGCGTGTCTGTACTAGGTTGGTCAAGGGATTACGAGGGCAAACGTACCCCGAACGCCTACGTAGTTTGGGAATGCAGTCAATGCACTATCGAAGAATTAGAGGGGACCTAATCCTAACCTACCGTATTTTGACTGGGAAGGTTGGCCCTGATTTGTCCTGGCTATTTAGTTCTGCTAGGTTATCTGGTCTCCGCGGGCATTGTATGAAGCTGGACAAACCGCGGTCCGATCGAGTTAGAGCGGAGACACGCTTATCGCGTCGAGTCATCGATCGCTGGAACCTGCTTCCAGAAAATGTTGTCAAGGAAGCTACGGTTAAGGGGTTTGAGCGTCAACTAGATGCTCTTGGGTGGCAACACGAAACCTTTCCGTTTTCCTGACAAATTCCCATCTTCATACTTCGATTCTATTTTCTTTGCTTTTCCTCGTCATTGGTATTATTCTCTTCTTTTAACTGATTTCCCCCACTCTCTTACCTTCGATTCTCCTTCCTCTCTTACTTACTTCACGTAACTGACACAGCTGGGACAGCTAATGTTAGGAACGTGGGCATTAAATTGGTGGACCAGGGTGTTTTTCGGGTGTTTTCCTTTTAGACCCACCAAGAAGTCGGAGCACCCCTATCAACTCCTGGATCGACGACCTGCTCAAGAAGGAACACTTACGGGATTCATCCTATCGTTCCAGTCCCACTTGAACTTGAACTTGAAGTTTTGCGCTGTAAACTAAGTAAATCAAGACAAACATTTGTACACATTTTCCAATGGGCCCGGTTCTGCGCCATCTCTGAAAGAGTTTCCAGCCAGCGGTGTTCATCATCTTTGATCCCCCCAGCCCGGAAGACGCACAGGACCTACAACACCTAAACTGGAAGTCAGCGCTTTAATCGTTTGTCGTCACTTGATAGGCTACCCACTTCGCGATTTCCTACAGCTTGGTGCCGTGCAAGCAAAGAGAGCGCGTCGGGGCAGCCGTTTGCATGGCATGGGTAAAACGTGGCCCTGCTATCACAGTTACTGCAGCGGTACCAGTCTGTCAAGTAAAAGGCGCGTGTCACCCAAGACGCGACGTCTAACATCATCGTTGCGCACGTAGTTGATCCGCCATACTCAAGCTATGCTCCGCAGACATCCATTGTCAAAGGTCGAAATCCGATGCAAGTTATGCACATGAATCGGCCAGGACTCACTCCCATACAGCAGTACCGCAAAAACACAAGCATTGTATACCATGCCATTTACCAATAGTGCGACCTCACGGCGTCACCACAGACGCCTCAAATTGGCGGACGCTGAACGGGCTTTGGCAAGGTGGAGGGAAATCTCTTTTCTAATGCTACCATTAGCAGAAACACAGATTACCAGGAAAATAAAGTTGTCCACTTGTCCAAGCTGCGTACCTTGAAGAGTGTGCACTGGGACAGGTGGATGCCAATCCAGGACCAGGACATTGCACTTCGTAGGGGCAAAGGTTATGCCATGTTTAAATACCTGAATCGGCAAGCTGTTTAGGACGCCTGTAAGCTCTGTGCGTCATCACCAAGCAAAGCAATATCTTCGGCATAATCTAAATCCGTCACGCGGTTGCCAGGAAGAAGCTCTACACTATAACCCTGAAAGCCATCGAGAGTGTTTAAATATGACATCTGCAATCGCAAAATTGAAGAGAAACGGGGACATGGGACAACCCTGTAGTACACCAATAGTGACGGCAAAAGGTGAAGAGAGCTTGTCATAAGCTTTCACTTTACCTGAGACATTGCAATATAATGCTCGAAAGATGGCGATATACTTTTCAGGTACTACATTCCTTTGAAAGCAACGCCATAAAGTTGGCCGATCGACGGAGTCGAAAGCTACTCGGATGTCCAGAAAAACAACAATAGTGGATTAGAAGTAAAGATAACGCGTTTCAAGGAGTTGGCGGAGTGTAAACAAGTAGTCTATACACCCTCGACCGGGGCGGAAACCAGCCTGTTCTTTACGGGAGTGCAACTCTTGAATCAGGGTTACTCTGCGGAGTAGAATGAATGTTAACAACTTGGAGGCGACGGACATTAGACTGATTCCTCGATGGTTAGCGCCTAGGGAACGGGCATCTTTCTTGAAGATCGGGGCGACCATTGACTCGCCCCAAGCAAATGGAACTGTTTCTTCACACCAGTTCTTAGAGAACAGAGCTGTTAGCTGGTGGACAGTTACTTCGCCCCCGAACTTGAACAGCTCTAGAGAAAGTCCGTCTGGGTCAGCACACTTGAGTCGCTTCAAGTGTCGGAGCTCAAGACAGACCTCAGCTTCAGTGTGTGGTTCCAATAAGAGGTCGCAATGCGCTCAACTAGGTATACTAAATAGGCTCGCCGGCGGAGGAGGCCAGCTGAAGTGAGTGCGGAAGTGCTCAGCCCAGCGGTCCATACGCCTGTGTAAGTTGCTTATCGGCGTTCCGTCAACCTCGCAAAAGACCTCACTGACACTAGGTCTTTTGTGACCAATGGACCGAATGACCTGGAAGAGGTTGCGAAAGTTTCCAGAGAGGACTGTCGTTTCCACCTCTGAGGCGCGCTAGGACCACCAAGTTTCTTGTACAGCACACAGTCTTTGCTTATGTGGTTGGCTGCGAATGCGAAGCAATACACTGCTATTTGAATCGGTCGGGATAGCGCTACGACAAGCAAACAATTCCAGTGAGTGTGCGAAAATCCAGCCCCTCAGAAGGCGCCTTGTCATTCCGCAGATTGCATGACTGGACGTTAACATCGCTTCACGCAGGAAACACCAATGAGTTTCGATGTCTCGAGGTTGAGTACCAGTGAATGCACGCGATAAGGTAGCTTGATAAGTTGATCGAGTAGAGAGGTCAGCTAACTTGTTAGGGTCGAGCGTATGGAGCTTTCGTTTTGAGAAGCTGCCGAAGCACATGCAGATGTCTGCACAGACCAACTCATAATCTGAATCAAGGTACGCAGACCAAATCAATCTACAACCCCGAACGCTGCTTCGCCATCTAAAGCTGATTGTAATGTTAACTATTTGTGACCACGCTTGCGTTGGTGAAGGAGGACGCCAGGTGGCTGCGCGTCATCTGGTATGCCTAAAGTTCGTACTTGAGAGAAAGAGACAGGGTCTTCACATAACGTAAGAAATCCATCGACGTTGTCAGAACGGCTCTCATCAAGTGCGTGACTACCACTTCACATTCGACAACTTCAGCCTGTGCAACCCAGAGCACAGAGGTTTGCGTACAAATGTCAGCAAACGCACATGTTCATTTGCACTGACAGCATACGCTGACCACTCCAACCTCCTTATTCTAGACCTGCCGTGTCGTACATAGAAGCGACAAGACACTTATCATTGACTACAATGGTAAAATTGAGAAGATCAACATCGAACGACTAAAGCCAACATTTCGCAACAACTCTGACACTTTGATGCAACAAGTATCTCATCAGCCTGCGCCATCACTGCCAGCACTGCAACCTCAGACCAGTCACACCGCTCCAGCAAAGCCTACAGTCGTAAAAGACCGCACCGCTACTCGCGCTAGGGATTTGAAACACCCAGTTCGCTTTGTGGACTTCGTCTGATATTTTACATACAGCCTGCCTCTCATTGGTTCATGCTCCTACAAACGATTGCCAAAATCCACAAGAAGTCCAAAGCCTTTCTAAACTACCAATCAAAGTAAAACCTAGTGAAACTGTACAAAGCTCGGTACGTATTTTCTGTACATTCTTTTGTGTATTGCTACGCCATCAAATTGTTCTTTCCAATTTTGATTTCCAGCTTCAAACCGTTGTTTGATTGTCGCTTCGTTGAACATTTCCTTGGAGTTTGCACCTCAGCTGGAAGCACAATGAACATCCTCCTCAGCCAGTTAAGTGAACTTTAAGAACTGTCCACCGACTAGGATATTTTCCGTTTCTAGTCAGTAAGGCGGACACGGTTAGGAGCCAGCTAGAGTCTGATTGCATGGTTCTCGCGAGCTGCTTCATCAGGTTTCATAACTTGCACTTACAGAAAGCTGGCCCGATAAGGGCACACCTCACGTAGATGAAAGGATTGCTTACACATTCCCTTCTAGGGGAGGCTGTGTAGCAATCTGGAGATTCCACGGTTGGCCTGTGTAAACTTCTAAATAAAATGTTTATTTTATTTTACACTTAGGCGATAAGTGCGAATTGTTAGATTAGTCATTGAGTTCGATTGTATGAGTCGAGCATCGCCTTGGCGTTTCTTTCGATCGCAAAACGTGATCGGTCTGCGTGCTGTACATCTTCCGTTCTGTTAGGTAGCAGCGTACATCAGTGTCATCTTTTTACAGCTAGGCGAACAGAGAAACCTTGGATGTACAATTAAAAGCGTGGCTGCAACGCGGTCGGTCTTTTGAAATGGTTGTTCGGGCTTCTGGTAAAATCTTTTCGCTTTATTCACCACATACTCCCTGTCGTTTAGCTGCTTAAATTATTTGTCGGATCCCGAAACCTCAAGTTGTGGCAAGACAAACAGCTAATTAAATCAGGCATTCAAGTTGCTAGGAACTATTACACATAGATAGTAACGCCCACTAGTGTTGTTATGTATAGCTAGGATAACAAAGAAATTCTGCTGAACGGACAAAAATTACCTGCATCCAGGTTTTTGAGAGCCTCTATCTTGTGTACTGTTGATGTCTAACACCAATCTGTACCGTGTTGTACGGGATCCCAATGCACGCGAATTCAGCATATTATTCAGATATATTCCAGATCAAAATACATAAAGTCTATGACAATATAAAACAAATGGGCAAGGGGATTTATATCTTACTTGCTAATGAATTTCTGATGGCCTTCTCACATTTTTGGATGCCCAAACGGAAACAAGCAAAGGCAGGTCTCTTGTTGTGGCCACGATGAAAATATACAAGAGATTTCTCAAAATTTCCCTTAGTATAAAGGGCCTCGGCCTTTTGAAGCAGGCCCTGTATTCATTATTAAGACTATACCATGAGAGACGTACTTTATAATTTTCTGGGGAGAATCTCAAAGCGTCATTGGCGTCTGCCAGGGCCATATTTGCATTTCCATTCAGGAGGTGACATTGGGAACGTTTTAAAAAACAATATGCATCACCATCCTTCTTCTCTAAGGCCTTAGGTACGGTTATATAGTAGGTTTATAAGCCTAGTCAAATACCTTCGTATAGCAAAGTATTGCCCTGGGAAACTTTTTTTTAATCCGATGTGCATCGCCTTCAGATCGATAGACTTCGAAGGTGTCGCTGTGAAACCGCTGGGTTTCCTCTGAAGATGTCACAGACATGTTTGTTGAGATGTTCACCGCTTATCGTTATGGCAACATTTAGTGTGAATGTGATAAAACGGACAGACAGAATGAATAGTTAGTTCAAAAATCAAAGCTACTTGTCACAAGATTCTAAGTCGATAAATAAATATATGACCTGGCCTAAAATTTTAGTCCTAATAATCAGCTTGCCAGTCAGATGTTTTAGCTGCTTTAATATTACTGGTGTACTCCGGGTAAGTCCGCTTATTCCAAAGTATAGTGTTGTAGTGCCAATGATCGAACTCCTTTTGATCTTCTCTCTTTTCTTTTCAAATCGGCGTCCTGACATTCCAGCAGGAAATTTGGGCTGTTTATCAGATGACAATGATTTTAAAGAACAAGGATAATTATTATTGTTATACTTCCTATTCCGGTTTGTGTACACTTAACCCTTTTTGTTTGCATAACCTGCATTTTGGCCTTTTGCCATTTACACGCTGCTGTGTGCACGCTGTGTTTTGCCCTGACTGTATTCGTGTGCTGTGGCCACTGTAACGCTTGTTGCCGTCGGAAACAGTTCTTCCCTGCGTTTTTCAGCCATTGACGATCTTTCGTGTCCCCTGGATTATTGCACACTACAGTGTAACGGCAATCCATTATCCACTTTGCCTTTTTATAATTATCCCACCTATAATAATGCACCTGAAAACGAAGAGTATTTCAAATTGAGGCTACTTTTGTTTTAACCTTCAAATGCTCCGCTTGTTTTACTGACGACACCTGTTTACACTAACTACTTTGGTGGTTCCCGTGATATGCATTTAAATAAAAAAAATAAATAAACTTTTATTCTCGACCATGCGAGACACACCTTTACAGGCATGATCATGTTTAGCTAACAGTGTGATCAATAACGTACAAAAGTACATGTTTGGCATAACAATATATGTAAGTGTATGGGTGTATATGCGTATGTAATTGTGTATGAATGTAGCTTGTGTCTTTGAATGTGCCGCAGCATTTTTGAATGTTTGTTGTCGTCAGGAATGTGAGCATAAGCGATTGATGTCCTTGGGTTGGATAGCACTTTCCTGATATCCACAGGCCAGTGACTTTAACTTGTGGCGAGTCACATCCGCCACGTCACAGTGTTGATAAGCAGACATTTGTGGCTTTTTATAGGGAGAACGCTTGCCAAGCGAAAACCCACCACGTCCTGGAACACTGCCGCCGAACTATTTGCTGGAACGGATAAAACCCGAACCACCCAGCTGGCACCACGAGGAGGTTGTTCGGCTAGCCAGCCTTGTTCGGCTAGCTAGCCTCTGTTTATTCGTTTCCTATTTTTGTAGCCTGTGCAATACGTGTTAGGTTCAGTTGCCTCTAAATTCTCTACTGTATCATGTCTGACCCGTCTCCCAAGTGTCGTCGTGATCGACTAATATCCCAGGCGCCAGCCAACAATTGGTGACCCAAATCCAGAACACGCCGCCCGCCATTTTGAATTTTCATTCTGTTTAGTTTGTTCCGGTGACTTTATTAATCAACACTCGCTGTCGTTTTGTTTTCGCATCTGCCGTATATACTTATGCATATCTCACGATGAATAGTTCAGGGGATAAACCATCCACGTACGTGGTTAAGGCAGTAGAGCTAGCATCGCGCCAAAGGAAAGAGCAGGCTGTGTTTCGGTACTCAATCCAGTGGTACACACAGAGGTAACGCCCAGTATAGTCAAGGTGAACCGCCCGGATATAAATAAATGAATAAATAATAGTATATTGCTAGACTTTCTAGATGCTGTGCCCGCGAGGGATCAGATTAATTTGTACACAAATCCCATGTTCTTGCATGGAGGGCAAAAACACTGCGAGTAAATATGTGAAGTGGATTGCTGTATTCCTGACAGCCAATGAAACGTGTGTTGGGAGGGACATCATGATGAATCGGCCACAAAATTACTCCTTCGACTTAGCCCCGTCGTAGACCCAGCGAATTCCGTGACTAGTGTACCGTCAGCAATGGTCGCGTTATCATCACAAATTGCTTCCTTGTAACTCCAAGTCCAGAAACGCCCTAGGCGTAAGCAGCGCAGCCGTCCAGCTCATCACCAGTCGCACGAAGCATAGCAATTCAGGCTTTTGCTTTTTCCACTCGGTTTATGAGAAAAAGCCCTTATGTGCGATGAATAATGCAGTTTTTCAGCTACGAAGCAGGGAAATATTCAGGCCGGCCCGTTATGGCGGCTAAGGTTGTCGGCATATTCCAAAGTCCTCTCAGCTTCATAAGGAAACACAGTGCTTAGTTGATACCGGTGCGCAAGTCGGCATCATTCCCCTATTGCAGGTGAGCCAGCAGCCACTTTGCCGACAAGCTTAGAGCGACCAATGGCACGCCAATGGCCAGCTACGGTCATCGGTTGCTTAAGCTGGATCTAGGTCTCTGGCGCACTTTCCGCTGGGTAGTCACTGGTGCTGCCGTCCTCTTTGCCATCGGTGGCATTGACTTTCTCAGAACACTTCGATCTCTTGGTCGACGCAAAACGCCAGATGATAGTCGGCACTGCTCTGCAACTCAGTGTACGGGGTATGAAGGCCGGTACTGCATCTAGAACACCGGTGCACGCCTTACCCCGGACATGGCCAGACTACGTTGACCTTCTCGCTCAGTACTCCAAACTCGTTCAGCCAATGAACGCGGCCCTGCTCGTAGCTTGCCAAGTCACACACCACATAAGAACGAATGGCCCAGCAGTCTCAAGATATACACGCCGACAATCACCCGAGAAACTTAAAGTAGCTAGGACGGAGTTTGAGCACATGCTGGAACTTGGAACGATCTGACAGCAGTTCGTCCTCACTACTGCAGGTCGTCCCGACGAAAGCTGATGGCTGGCCCTTGCGGTGATTACCGTGCACACAACCGACGAAGCGTCCCAGATGGGTATCCCATTTAACACATGGAGGACCTTACCGCATGCCTCACAATTAAGACGACTTTCACCTAGCTCCATCTGGTTCGCTCCTATCACCAGACGCCTATAGATGAAAAGGGCGTTCCTAAAACAGCTGTTTTCACACCTTTCGGCATGCTTGCGATGTTAAAGATACCATTTGGACTGTGCAACGCCACAAAAACTTTCAAGCCTTTATCCACCATGTCACTCGTGGACCAGACTTCGCTTATTCCTACTTAAGCAATAATTTAATATCTAGTTCATAGGAAGAAGAGCATTTTGGCCACTTTCGAGCTCTGTTCCGACGCCTGGATCAACAAGGTATCACAGTCAACCCGATTGCGACCACCGAAAGTCAACTGTAGAATTGATGATGTTTCGCTCTCAATTTGATCGGGCTTTTGGTGTCTCTAGAGTATATTTTATCGCGATTTTCACATACTATTTTACATCAAACTTACAGCTTTTCTGCCGTTATGTTTTCTTTTCCATCACCTCTTCCTTTGGGCATGGTCAGTGAACGTCGTCTTAACGTCTCTATCAAGGGTGTGAGACCAGTAGGGCGTACTCCGGCCAAATCTAAAACTATCAGCAGGACCTTAGCGGGCACAACGTTACCATGCACCGTTGACTTAACGGACATCCTTTCAATGAGTTCCCAAATGACCGATCTTCAAGACGACGTGGGGAAGCTCAAAATGGTCCTCAACCCAATAGAACCTTTTACTGATAGACTGGCAGCCATTGCGACCGTGATGCACCCCAAGGACTGTATGGAAGTTAAACAAGCGAAGTTGGTTGGAAGGTTCATTAACCCGATTTGCACAGCAGTGATGGCTCCGCTAAAATAGCTTAATGAGGTAGTGGTTTATAATGTTCCAGACCGCCTGGAACTGCACACCATTCGTAAAATACTGATGAAAGTGTGTGCCTTGGAACACAAGCTTCTGAGCTGTACAAGGCTGAGAAAAAGGGTTAGGAAAAACCAATGCCCCTCTTAGTCAAGTTCGATTATGGGAGCTCGGCTCTCAAGTTTCTCTCCTATCGAAGGGAATTTAGAACCCACACGCCGTTCCTTGATTTAAATTTAGTACCAGCAAGAACGGCTTTGTAACGCCGTTACAATAGTCTAAGAGAGAGTTATGCACAGAGCAGATGTGTTCAAGCGAATTGTGACAACTGTCCGACGCCTGTGAACCTAAGTGGCTCACATACTGTGGATCGGGACATTTCGTCTGATATGGATACTGGATCGCTGGATTCCTTGGAAGAACTTGCAAACCCTGAGACCAGTACTATCCATAAAGCCACATAATACATAGACCAAATCAGCCAACCCGAGAACAATATAGGAAAACCCTCAGATAGTATTAATTGCTCAGCTACTGATACAACTCGATCAGCTAAACCGGAAGGAGCAATGGTTGACGAAACTTTAAGGCAACCTTTAAACAGCCCAGTTAGATCGGACATGTTATGAAAATTTTACGACGATCGAAGCGAGCCCAGCATAATCTACACTCAGAGAACAGAGTCGCCGGCGCCTCGAGCGAAAAGACCCCGTATATGGACCACACCACCGAGTTCACCTTAGCCGCTGGGCTTAACGACACCAACTTTGAAAATAAGAAAAGCGGAGATCCTAACACCGTATAATGCTGCGCGTGGGATTGGATTGTGTAGCGCGTTAGTGTTCACGGTTCCAGACGGTATATCTGTGGACGCATTTAGGCGTGTCATCATTGCGGTTAATGGCATTGCAGAGAATGCACTGCAGGTTCAAAGACTGACTAAGCGTGTAACCCAACTTGCGGCTCCCCTCAAACTGAAAGCAAAGGATGAGACAGTTTAATGTCCTTCTTTCAGGTAACCTTTTCAGCTTTCTCCTAGCACTCTATCCTAACTCATCAAGTCAGTGCACAGCCGCTCCGTAGCCTCTATTCTAGACGTTCTCAAATGCTTTAATTGTTGTAACGTCTTCGACTTTTTCACCTGCAAGCGTCCAGCTCTCGGACTAGCTTTCCCTGGCTCTATCCAAAGTAGTATTATCCCAGCACCCTAGCATGAATTGTGTACCTGCGCACCGCCGTGGTTCAGCCTTATATGATGTGACTCCCACAGTAAACAAGGTATGCTTGCATTCTTCCTGTCTGCTGTCCTTACTTCATTCAACCTTTTTGGCTCTCTT